ATATATGTTTATTTTTTTCTTATTTTACATATTGATCCAAGTTCCCTCTCCTGCCCTCCCTTCCCCCCCCCCACTCCACAGGGAGGGTGATGCCTTCCAGGAGGGGGTCAACAAAATCTGTCAAGTCATTTGAAGTAGAGACTAGGACCTCCCTCTTGCTCTAGGTTAAGGGAGTATCCCTCCATGGAGAATGTTTATACTTCTTTTTTATATTTTTGTTTTTACTGTTTGAGAATTCCATGTGTGTAGTGGGATATTCACTTTGTCTCCTTCTGTGGCACTGACCACGCCCATTGGGGGTGGAGCCAGGGGCGGAAGTGACCTGTGGAAGGAGGTCTGAGGAGGAGCCTGGGAACGCTCTCTTGCTGGCAGGACTCAGAGAGGAGAGCATCCGGTGGAACTACATGCTAATAAAACTGGCTAAAATCCAAAATAAATTATTCGAACATTTATACCATTACAGGAATTATGAGGACTGGAGAAATAGCCATTCAAGGTTAGGCCCACAACCAAAAATATAATAAATTACAAGTTTGAGAAAATAGGGTGTGAATTCCTGCCTTGATACTCCAGCAGTAATGGAATTTAATGTGGAGCTGTTAGCCAAATAAGCCATCTCTCCCCTAGGTGGTTCCCTCCTCCCCAGGGTAACTTATCACGGCAACCCCCCCCCCAGGGTAACTTATCACCGCAGCAAAAGTGAAGCTGGGACAGTGATTATAACACAAAACCCAAGAGTCCACCAGGTGACAAGGATGTTGACAAAAATATTAAAGGTCTAGATAATCTATACAATCAAATTATAGCAGAAACTTTCCCAAGTCTAGAGAAAGACCTAGACTAGACATCCAAAATCCAAGAGTTATCTTGAACTCCAAATAGACATGATCAGAGTAGAACGTTGCATGACATAATACAGTCAAGATATCAAAAATACAAAATAAAGAAAGAATATTAAAAAAAAAATAAAGGAAAGACACCAGCTCACTTATAAAAGCACATGTATCAAAATAACGCCATTTCCCTCAGAAACCCTAAAAGGCAGAACAAAATTGGGATGTTGTATTTCAAGACATGAAAGCAATTCACTCAGCTAATGCTTACACCCAGCAAAGTTGTGCCATAAAATTGAAAAGGAAGTAAGGACATTTCAAGATAAACACAAACTAAGGCTGGTCATGACCACAAGCGAGCCACATAGAAGGTGATGGCATTAGCATCATGCACATAGGAGGAAGAATGATACTCTTGGTTGCAAGGATACAGAAAATAATAATGTTCATGAGAGGAAGAGATAAACAAGACGGGAAGAAATCCATGATATCCAATATAGTAAAGCAGCAAACCCCAACATTAACAGAGGAGAAAGAGCAAACAATCTAACCAATAAGTCAGTAAAATGCTTACCTTACAAGTATGAGGATGTCAGTGAAATCCACAAAAGCCACATAGAAATTAAAGCCAGGCAAAAGCTGGGCAGATAGATGGCTCAGCAGTTAAGAGCACCCATGTCAGAATGATCACAACCACCTACCATTCCAGCTCCAGGGACTCTTATGTCCTCTTCTGGCAGCTAAATTTACTAAACTCATGTGCACACATCCACACACTGAAATCTTAAAAACATAAAAGCCAAGTGTGGTAACACACTCTTATAATGACTGTGATGAGGAGGTAAGACATGGATACCTAGAATTTAGGGGTCAGCCAACCTAACCTACTTAGCAAGATCCTGAACTTGGCAAGGTCCTGGCTCTTGAGAGACATTGTATCCAAAAATAGGTTGATATGTGCTTGCACAGAGAGAGAGAGAGAGACACAGACAGACAGACAGACAGACAGACACACACACACACACACACACACACACACACACACACCTAGTAAGGGTTGGAGATATAGCTCAATGATTAAAATGCCTGCAATGTTAGTGTGAAGACCTGACCCCAGCTCCCTAAAACCCATATTAAATGTCAGACGGGCTTGGAAGCCCACTTGTAATTCCAGCCTTGGAATGCAGAAACAAGGGATTCTCCAGAACAAGTTGTCTGAAAAGATTCAACAAATTGGTGAGCTCTGAGTTTTATTGAGAGACCCTGCCTCTCTGTGAGTAAGGTGTAAGAGTGACCAATCAAAGATGATTCATGACATCAACTTCAGAACCCCACATGAACACTTGTCCAACACATACAGGCATACATAAACATGCATATGCACACCACACACATACATGAAAAAAAATACAATAATAGTATTTTCCTGGAATAAGATAGTCAATGTTTTAATATTGAATTAGTGTTCCTTTCTTATTAAATCAATGATCAAATCCAAACGCATGCATGTTGCACACAGAAATACAAAGGTTAAAATCCACATGTTAGGAAACCTCCAGTCCTTCTTAATTGGTCTAAGTAATAAAAAGTGAGAGTCAGATATAGAAGAAAATGCTGAAAATCAGAGAGAAGGAGCAAACCACTGCCATACCTTACCTCATAAGCATCTCAGCAGACAAGAGAGTGAGTTCCAGTTTCTCCCTACTTATATCCTGTTTCTGCCCAGCTACCTCACTTCCTGTCTATCTATACAGACCTCCAGACCTCTATGGTTAGCTAGTGGCAAGCCCCATTCTCTGACCCCCCAGACAGACTTTATTTGTACAAACAAGATTTTACTACATATCCCCCTTTATGTCTAAAATTTTTAAAGTTATAACTAATATAGGAAAGTTATATACAATAAGTACAATAATGCATAAAATATATGCAGGCAATAAGTACATCAACAATGTCTGGTCCGTTAGCATTAAACAAATTCAGAGAAAATATTCCATATCTATTCTTTCTTGATGACTCCAAAGTCTTGTATTTAATTTACTTTCTATTCTAATTTGCATTATCAAATTGTCTTTTATATCTTTTACACATATTACACTTAATACATCTATAGTGAGATTCTTTACTGATTCTGATAAACAGGGAAAACTATAACTACACTATTTAGCCTTCAACTCCCTCAGAGAACCAAGAAGGAAATAATATTAACTGAGTAAACAGGAAGTGTGAACAAGCGACAGCTGGATGCCTACACGGTCAGCCAAGATTGATCTACAACATTGGGGTATGCATCTTTGGCCTATAGGCCTAGCATATCTTTCAGACATTTCTGTGAACCATGGTAATCTGAAGGACTGGACCGCCTTGTCTCGGCAAGGTTTGCATTCACTCTTTTTGGTGTCCTGTTTGTCCAATTTGGACAGCATAGTGTCAGCAGTTGAGTCAAGGGCACTTTCTTGCCCAGTGGCTTACCTTAGTCACAAAGAAAGGAAACAAGCAAACTTCATGTGGAGTTCCTTTGATGCCCATCATCTCCAACGTATATTTGTGCCGCCAGGAGCAGACATGTCTCACTGTCACAAAAAAGAACCTAAGTCATTAAAACATGTTAAATGCCATATTCTGTAGATCTCTGAAGTGTTTGAAGATGACCTGTCTTTCTAAGATATCTGTTTGGCCCTGTAAGCATACCTAATTGATTGTAATAGTAGACTAATTACTAAACTACATTTCCTTATAGTGCTATATAGTTGATGATAACTTTTCAAGGGCTAGAAGTTTGTATTGCATTGTTAAATGAGCTGTATAGATACAATGCCTTGAAAAATACGGAAATGTATGTACAGTATGTTTTAGCAAAATCAATCTTAAATTCGTATCGGTATACAACATTTGTATACAATATGTAAAAATCCAGGATTATGTAAAATATTTAAAACTATTAGTTGCTTTTTAAGAGTAGATTCAGTAATCTACCTTTTCATCTTATCATATCTATAGCCTCCCTTTATTCTTTTTCAGAGTAGATTCAATAATCTACCCTTTTTATCTAAACTATCATATCTAGATTCCTTTTTTTTTTTTTTAAACAAAAACTGGAACACCTTTACTCAATTTTCTTCCTGATCATAAGCAACAACATTTTGTAACCAATCCCCCTAAACAATGACAAATATCTATAACCAATGAGTGACCAAAAACCATCCACCCCACCTCTTAAAAATGAGGGTATCCTGTTCTTAGAGTTACTTCCTGCTGTTTGGGGGTGATGACATTTTTAGGGGAGCATTTGTTGTTCCATCTCTGCATAATGAGCAAGTACTTGTTTCAAATCCTGACTAATGTAGTCTATGAGGCTGGATAACTAGCCACCTTGAAATTGTTCTGAGCAGTGTCTGTTAGGCTGGGTCATCTCAGCAAGTCACCTCGAAATTGTTATGAGCAGTTTGTACTCCAAAGCTGATCTTTAGTTAGCATTGTTCAGCATAATGGTGTTGTGATAGTCCTGGTGAAATTGCCAAAGGCGTTGTTAGGCATGGCTGTGGTTCACTGTAGAACACTGAAAGTCTCAGACCTGAAATCATGTACATGAAAGAAGATGAGACCCTTCTTCTAGAATCAGTTAGTACTCTATATGACCATCAATATCATGACAAAATTATGAGATTAGTAGCGATACCACAGTCCTAATATTTGTTTTTCTTCTGTTCTACATAAGATGGCTGTTCCGACACCAGAGATTTTTATATTTTACTTTAACAAGCATGCCTGGATTTAGAGAAGGAGAAAGCCATGCTCCAACTCCAAAGCCAGCTTTTAATCTTTAATTGGACTGAGACTACAAATAGACCATTTGCATTATATTTCTGTATAGAAAAAAAGGAAACAAACATTGGGGGATATTTATGAAAATGTATACATCTCCCCCATGCCATCTCTGAATGAATTTATAGGTTGGCCCAGAAATGGATTTCAGACTCAAAATGGTTAAACGTGTTGTGTGAACCACATCTTCCTCTGAAGCCCGAGGTCAGTGTTGAGGGGGAAAAGCTGTGAATCTTTCTGTTTAAAAGAAAAGAAATGTGCAAAAGTCCCATAGTGATTGGTGTCGGGGCTCGCCCACCACATCCTATGCATCGTAGTCACCCACTGGACTCAGTCCACAGACGCTGTAGAGCTTTGGCCTTGCCAGTGGCATGCTGTCAATCCTCGCTGCCCTACTCTGCATGGGTAAGTCCTTCATAAAAGGGGGATGGCATCAAGAGCAGGATTCGGGGAGACCTTATAGTGTTATTGTTGTTTCCCAGAGCTATGTCTGAGCCAGAGGATCAACACAGGAAAACGTGAAGTCCTGCCTTGAGAGGCTCAGGGTCATTCTTAGGGGTTTATCTCAGAGGCCCATCTGAGAACACCCAGAGATAGCCAGCGAGCGGCAGGCATTCTGCTTCACTGGGATGGCCTCGAGCTGGTGACTGCGGGCGGGCAGTGGAGTCAGGTAATGGCTCACCTGGGACTTGTGCTTCTGGTTTGTTTGTCAGAGACTCTCCCGAAACCCATCATCTGGGCCAAACCTAGTAGCAGGGTCACAAAGGGAACCCCCGTGAACATCTGGTGCCAGGGGCCTCAGAGTGCTTCAGCGTACCAACTGTACTTTGAAGGAAGCTTTTGCCTTGGAGAAACCAAAGCCACGTACATCAGTGAGTAAAGCTAAGTTCTTCATCCCACAAATGACCTCAAACACTGCAGGGAGATACTACTGCTTCTATCAGAGCGGGGAGCTTCTGTCGGAACACAGCGAACTCCTGGTGCTGGTAGTTACTGGTGAGTGTCTTGGTTTTTAGATGTAGCGTCGCCTTGGTATGAATCAGGGGAGTGCCAGTGTTTGCAAATACCAAAATTAAAAAAAAAAAAAAAAAAACTCTTTAAGCACCACACTGCTTATCTTGGCTGGAAATCAGGGGATGTTGTCCAATCATAGCCACATCCTATAAGGGTAAAACTTCAGAATCAGCTCTCTCTCCCTGCACATTAATGTGTCTTAGATCAAGACCTCTGAAAGATGTTTCTGTAATGGGTCACTGTGTGCTGGGGGTATGACTAAGGACTGGTGGGCAAGAGAATCTAAGCTGGGTAGCAAGAGGTTGGCCCCTGATGGAGTTTCATCTGAAAACATAGCCACGTGCATGGTTCTCAAATGTAATCACGCTTGAAAAACACCTGGAGGCCTTGTAACAACACAGATCCCTCGCACACTGGCATTAGTCATGATAGTCAAAAGGTGGCTGGTTAGATGGCTCGTGAATAAGAGAGCTTGCTGTTCTCAAGCATGATAACCTGAATTCAATCCCCAGAAACCATATTAAAAAGTCATGTGAGTCTAGAACTGGGCAGGGAATGCCAACCCGATTTCAGGGCTTCATAGACACCAGCCTCGCTGTGGGTTGGGTGAGACTCTGTCTCAAGGGAATAAGATGAAGAGGGATAGAACAGGGCACCCACCTCCAGCCTCCACACATGGGCTACAGGTACACACACTTAAATACGCATAGGAACACACACAACACATACCACACACAATCACACCGAGGGAAAAATAGAGAAACGAAATAAATAAACCAGTAGCTGAAAGGAAGTAATAACAATAGCGTCTCTTAGTGAATAACTGGATGAACAAAATGTGGTATATCCATACAGTGGGATATTACTCTGTCTTGCAAAGGAAGAAATTTCTGGCACACATTATGATGCAGCTGAACCCTGAGGGATTTTTTTTTTATTTACTGGTGAAGGTTTTCTTTATATATTTTTCTTTTTTTTTTATTTATTTATTTTTTATTTTACATATCAACCCCAGTTCCCTCTCCCTCCCTCCTTCATTCCCTCCCCTCCCCTTTTACCCCCTTTCTGCCCCCTCACATGCACCCTGACCACCCTCCCCTCCCATCCCCCACCCCAATTCCACATGTGCAATGCCATCCAGGTGGGGTCATGTAGATCTGTCAAGTCATTTGAAGTAGGGACTAGGACTTCTCTCCTGTCTCTAGATTAAGGCAGTTATCCCTCCACGGGGGATATGTTCACAAGGTCCTTTTAGTGCACCAGGGATACATCCTGGCTCCACTGTCTGAGGTCCCTTAGACTGCTCAGTCCTTCTGGCTGAGACCCATATTCAGGGGTGCCTGAGTCAGTCCAATGCTGGATTCCTAGCTATCAGTCTGGGGGCCGTTAGCTCCTCCTTGTTCAGGTCAGCTCTCTCTGTGTGTTTCTGCAGGCTGGTCTTGTCCTCCCTCTCTGCATCTGGATTCTAGTTCAGCTCAGTGTTTAGTTGTGGGTGTTTGCTTCTGTTTCCAACAGGTACTAGATGAGAGCTCCATGATGGTGGATAAGTTAGTTGTTGATCTCACTATCCCGGAAGGGCATTTTTTATTTTTATTTTTTTTAATTTATTTTTATTTTACATGTCGATCCCATTTCCCTCTTCCTTCCTCCCTCCCACCACCACCCTCATATCCCATTCCCCCCCCCCCACTCCACAGGTAGGGTGATGCCTTCCAGGAGGGATCATCAAAATCTGTCAAGTCATTTGGAGTAGGGACTAGGTCCTCCCTCCTGTCTCTAGGCTAAGGGAGTATCCCTCCATGGGGAATGTGCTCCCAAAGTCCTTTCCTGCACCAGGGATACATCCTGGCTCCACTGTCACAGGTCCCTTAGACTGCCCAGGCCTTCTGACTGAGACCCAAGTTCAGGGGGTCTGAGTTGATCCAATGCTGGTTTCCCAGCTATCAGTCTGGGGGTTCATGAGCCCTCCTTGTTCAGGTCAGCTGTCTCTGTAGGTTTCTGTAGCCTGGTCTTGACCCCCTTTTCTTATCACTCCTCCTTCTACAACTGGATTCCCAGGAATTCAGCTTAGTGTTTAGCTGTAACCCTGAGGATGTTAAGAAAATGGAGACTAACCGGTCACAGAAGGACAAATAATGTCTGATTGCACTTAATTGAGTTACCTGGAATAGTGCAATTCATAGAGACAAAAAAAAAATGTAGAAGGATAGTTGCCAGATCTTGGGAAGGCAGAAAGGGCATTATTTAATAGTTTAAAGGTTTCTGGTTTTGAGAAGAAAACATTCTAGAAGTGAAGGCTACTAATGGTTTGTAGCAGTGTCATATGTTTAATGACTCTGAACAAGTATGTGCAAGTTCATGTGTGAAGAGGGGTGTGTGTGTGCATGTGTGTGTGCACGCACATGTGTGCTTGTGTGCATGTGTGCGCATGTGTGTGTGCGTGTGTGTGTGTGTGTGTGTGCCTGTGCATGTGAGTGCATGCGTGTGTGTGCATGTGAAAGCCAGAGGACAATCTCAGGTGTCATTTTCCAGGAGCTGTTCACCTGAGTTATCTTGTTGGGATCTGGAACTCACCACGTACATGCACTAGGTCGGGTGACCAACAAATCTCCCCTATCCCTGCCTGTCTGGCAGTGGCATCACAGTCATACACCACCATGCCTGATTTCTGTGTGTATACTACAGATCAAACCCAGACCCAAGGATCAAACTCAGGGCTTTACCAACTGAGCCACCTTCCCAGCTCCCTCCTCCAAGGAAAAGAGATATCTTTAGGGCAGGAGAAAGCCCAGGAGGCCTCTACCCTACACTAAAGCCAACCTAAGGAATGACGACACCAGGAGAAAGTCTTAGCCAGCAAAGAGCACACCAATCTGTTAGCCCGTGTGCAATGGTCCACTCCGAAAACATACAAACAAGTAATAGTATACAGACTGAACAGGTTGTACTCATGTATTTAGGAATGTGTGTGTGTGTGTGTGTGTGTGTGTTTATATGTATTTATATACAGATATGTAACAACAATTAATTTAAAAAGTATACCACAAATCTGAAAGTGAGCAAGGATGTTTTGGAGAGAGAGCAGGGACAGGGAGATGGTATGATCATATTATAATCTCAAAAATAAATACTAATTTTTTTATGCATATAGAGTATTTTTTATTTAATTTTATATAACAAAGTCCAATTAAATGAAAACAAACATTTATACACAATATTTGGGAATTTGGTAGTTTGGAAAGAATAAATACTAATTTTTAAAATGTAAAAGTCTATCCTGTCCCTGGGTTTCTGATATTCCAGGTAGGAACAAAACATATTCAGCCTTCTAAGTGACAGTAGTGGTTTGGGTCCTGAGGACCAAGCTCGGAGCCATAGGTAGAGATGCAGAAGCTAGGCCCAAATTCCTTAGTCGTGAAGGAAAATGGATCTATCTGTGACAAGCACGCATAAGGAGCCCAGATTCCAAAGAGTGATGTCTGGTCACAGAGGAAGAGAAGAAGACTGAGGAATTGGGGATGTGACAATGTTCTGTATTTATCAGCCCTGCTTCTCCCACAGGTATGTATGACACGCCCAACCTCAGCGTTCATCCAGGGCCTGATGTAACCTTGGGGGAGAATGTGACCTTCTCCTGCCTTCTGGAAGGTGGGACAAGCAAGTTCTTTCTTCTCAAGGAGGGAGAACCCAACCATGTCCAGCAAGGACATGGGAACAAGAAAGCAGAGTTCCCCATGGGCCCTATGACCAGAGCCCACAGAGGGACATACAGATGTTTTGGCTCTTACAACCACCATGCATGGTCTTTCCCCAGTGAGCCTGTGACACTACTCATCCCAGGTAAGGATATTCTCACCTGTATCTTAAGCACAGTTCCAGAGGATACCCTTGACAGTGATTTTCAAAAGATAGCAAAGAGTTCTCCGCTTCTTGAGATCCAACTAGCCACTCAGGAATACCAGAGGGGCAGAGACAGGTGAAGGAATAAAGGATACAGGAGGAGACCTAAAATCCTTTTTAAAATTGTTTTCTATTTCTAGGAGATGAGGGGAACACCGGCCTTGTATCCACAGACCCTACTTCTTCTCTTGGTGAGTCACTTCCAAACCCACCAGAAGGGAGCTGGGCAATTAGCTACTGGTAAAGCACTTACACTGAGGACCCAAGTCAGAACCACAGCACCCATAAAATCCAGGCATGGTAACCTATGCCTGTAATCCTGGTGCTAGGGAGAGAGAGGGAGAGGGAAACCCTGGTGCTCAATGGCAAGCCAGTCCAGTTGAATCAATGATTTCAAGGTTTAGTAAAAGACTCTGTCTCAAAAATTAAGATGGAGAGGATTTGCAAAAAGGCATCCAATGTTGACCTCTGACCTATATGCATACCTATATGCATATAACCTATATGCATGAGTGCACACACACACACACACACACACACACACACACACACCATAGGAAAGATCAAATGACACTAAAAATGTGTTATTTACTCATAACATTCCTTTAATCCACAGTACCTTCTAGCAGCTGTTGCAGAGTCGGTCAGCCAAACACCCTTACCTTTAGAGAGAAGCTTATATCCCAGCAATAAAAAACAAACCAACAGTCAAGTCAAAAAGGATAAATGTTTTATCTATAGCATAAAGGGGAAGCATTGATGTAGGAAAAGATAATGCATTAAATTGGTCAGGAGGGAAGGCAGAAATATGAAAGATGGTTTCCCAGAGTGGGAAGCATCTGAGATTAAAACAACAACAACAACTGGGCAAATACTTGGAGGTACAGATGGAAAGAGATCCATAGACATGTAAACACAGCTTCAGGAAGGAAGGTGAACTGAATGATATGGAACTGTAGTGAGGCCACTGGGGTGAAAACAGCTGTGTGGGCTAGTTTAACTTCAGTTTTCAAATTTGTATTAATTCTTTGAGAATTTCATACAATGTTTTGATCATATTCAAACCCTCACTACACAATTGTTTCTGGTTGTCTTCCCACCAACCTGGTCCCAGAGCCATGACAGCCCCAAATAACACACAGAGACAATGTATTAGATATAAAGCTGTTGACCTGTTACTAGCATCTTATTGGCTAGTGCTGTCTTAAATATTAACCCATTTCTATCCATCTGAGTATTTCTACATGGTCTTTGCTTACTGGAGAGAGGATCTGGAGTTCTGTTCTCTTGGTCCTACATATTGAATACTACTACCTATCCCCGAATCTTCCTTGTCTCCTAGTCCCGCCTATCTTGCTCTCCTATTGGCCAACAAGGCTTTGTTCATTAACCAATAAGAGAAACATATTTACAGAATGACATCCCCCATCACACAATTTTTGTGGCTTCTTTAGAAAAAAAAAAAAACTCATTAAACACAATTTGTGCTCTCCATATCTCTTGGTTGTGTAACCTTCCACAAGAGTATGGTCAATCTACAAGGGAACAAAACATAAAAGAATCTATTCTTCCTCCACCAGCAGCCATCAAATGCCAACGGTTCCTCATCCAGGGATGGGGCTTCACACATACCTCCTCTCTCCAGGTTGGGATTTGATCTAGCTTGAGCTTGTACAGGTCTTACGAATGGTAACATCATACTCATGAGTTTGTATGTGCACATCCCCTGTTGTGGTCAGAAGAAGCTAGTTCACTGCAGTCATCCCCCACCTCTGGCTCTTGAAGTCTTTCCACCACACCCCTTCCACAATAATCCCTAATCCTTGGGAAGAGGAGTGTGATAAAGCTCATTCACGGTAAAGCATTCCACCTTGAGCAACTACAGGCCTCCATTACAGTAATTCTCCAGTGAGAATTAAATTTCTGATGCTGTGATAAGACACCCTGCCTAAAAGCAAATGGAAAATGAAAAGGTTGATTTGGTCATCTCTTAGAGGAAGTCATGGCAAGAACTCAGGCAGCTAGTTACATTACATCCACAGCCAAGCACAGAGAAAAACAAATACATCCATGCTACTTATTTCTGCTCTTGTCAAGTGTCCTCCTGTTCTACATTCATACACCCCTGCCCAGGGAATGGTGACATGTTGCTGGAGATTTTTGTCCCACCAGACCAGGCTTCCCTTGAGCCCCAAATAAGCACACAAATGCTATATTAGTTATAAAACTGTTGGCCAATGGCTAGGTCTTCCTAATAACCCACTTCTATTAATCTAGATATTTCCACATGACCTTATCTTACCAGAGAAGGATCCATACCTGTTACTCCTTCCTCTGCTACACGGCATCTCTTTGAGTTACCTCTCTGCCTACCTTTCCCAGAATTCTCCTTGTCTCCTAGTCCCGCCTATCTTCCTGCCTTTATTAGCCAAACAGTGTTTTATTCTTCAACCAATAAGATAACCATACATACAGAAGGGCATCCCCCATCAGCGACATCCATAATAGACTGGATCTTCATACATCAAATAGTAATTAAAGCAATCCCACACAGACATGCCCACAGGCCAAACTGATCTAAATAATTTCCCACTGGAACTCCCTTTTCAGAGAATTCTACATCATGGCAAATTGACATTTAAAACAGAGCATCACAGAAGTGATGATGGGGATGGGGGCAGCTTGCTCCAGACAGTGAAGGAAATGCTGTTTGTGGATTTGTCTTCATGTGAGAAGGAAATTATATTGGATGAGTGAGGAGCATAAGGCTTCCCAGAGTTACTGTCTGCCATGAAGACATCTCTATTAGTACAATGGGTGAATCCACACACTTGAGTACATCCATCTCTTTACTAGTCTGCTCTATTGCCAATATGAAGCCCCTAGGACTTGGAATTCTGGGTGGGAACCAATGTTGGAAAGCCATAGGATGCCATGGGGCATAGGGAAAAAGAACTGTTTCAAAGGAAGAATCCAGCACCTGTTCATTCATCCCTTCGTCTTTTCCTTATCCTCAGTTTACTGGGAGGACAACCTTCCTACCAAAGAATCAGGATTACAGAAGGGTAAGTGAACATCGAGAAGCACAGACTCTGGGGAAAGGTGATGGGTAAAGCAGGAATGTCAAAGAGAAAGAGGGGTGGGTGTAGCCTCTGTCAGCAGCCACTCTGTCTTCTGACTCCAGGCTCTGCCCTCTGGGATCATACAACCCAAAATCTCATTCGGATTGGTCTGGCATGCATAGTCCTGACGGCTCTAATATGTCTTTTGGCTGAAGACTGGCTCAGTAGGAAGAGGGATAAAGAGGGGAACAACAGATCAGCAAGTTGGGAATGCAGAAGAAGACTGAGTCTGCAATGCTCTCTTGAAGAGGAACAAAAGGATGCGATTTCTATGGGGGGACTGAAGGCAATTCCTGGACCTGGGGCCATATGAGCTCTATTCTGCCCCCTGGAGGAAGGAAGTGGTCATTGCAGGAATAAAGGGGTAGTGTCACCAAGTTTAGCAAAGCATTCTAAAGGGCATGGAGAGATGAAGCCTACAGTTTCTACTGTAGACAGATTCTTGATGTCTCTGTTAAGCTTTAAGTACTTTAATGCTTATTTACCCCAAGCTATACTTTTAACCACTCTTGTCTTTCCATTAACATTTAGCAAGATTTAAAGAAAATATTCTATCATCTATTCTTCTTTGTGAGTCTAACGCCCTATATGTAACTTATCTTTAATCCTAACTAAGGAAAACTATAACCATAACTTTCTGTCTTCAGCTCCTTCAAAGACCACAGAAGGATAATATATAAACTCTAGAAATGACAGAGACAACTCGCCTGGTCAGTCACCTGAAGTTCTTCTGTAATGTTCCATCTTCAGCCTATAGGCCATAGTGTGTCTGGCAGACTCCTCAGCAAAGCAGGAAAGTTTAAACTGTCCACCTGCCCTGGAAGTTTGTTAGTCATTTTTCTCTGTGTCCTGTAGACTGTCTGGCAGACTCTTCCATGAAGCAGGAACCCTGTAGCAAATAAGGATTCCAGAAGGAGTAGGGAGGAGATTCAAGATGGAGGATGGAGAGAGAAGAACCTGGGGCCTCTCTCCTGTAAGATAAGACCACGTGGAAATACTTAGATTAATAGAAATGGGTTAATATTTAAAACAGAGATAGCTGATAAGTAACTGACCAACAGCTTTATAGCTAAAAAAAAATCCTAAAACTCATCATGGATTCCAACAAGCCAAGCTAAAAACCAAAACAGAGTCATACATGCTAAGATTGTAGATGCATATGTTAAAACAAATAAATCTAGATTCCTATGAGAGCAAACACAATTACTTGTAATTTGTTTCTCCCATTACTATCTCTTGTCTTTCCCCCTCTCAAGTCCCCTTTGGCTTTCATGACTCTTTAATGTTTGACAGCCACATAAAACAGACTCTTGGGACATTAGCACTGTGAAATGACACCCACCCTGGCATGGACAAGTCTAACTGCAATCAAAATTGCAAACAACTGGTGTGGCTAGGAACCGCAACAGCTGGAGTAGAGGTCAGTCTCTGCCTATCCTTTCCTAGATAGAAATTCCTCAGGGACAGAACTGATTCCCAGGGGGCCAATCACGGAGCTCCGTTGGGAAGGCAACCTTATAAGAGTGTTTCCCCCACACCTATGCAGGGAGCCTGCGTAGACGCTGGCTTTGGAGAGATGAGCCACAGTCCATTGACTATTTACCTCTTCTGGGGAGTGTCTCTGTGGCTTCCTCCTCCCCCTTACATGACTATTTGGATGCCTTTCCAGGAAAAACTTATTAGACATGGGGTTTGAACTCAATTTTGATTCTTTGAAGCAGGTTCTCATGTAGCCAAGCCTGGCCTTCAACTTGCTCTATAGCTAAGGATGTCTTTGAACTGACCCCCCTGCCTCTAGCTCTAGCATGCTGACATTACAAGCTTGTGCCTGTACTCAAGCATTTTGTGCATGCTAGGCAAGCACTTGGCCGACTATTGGGAAATGTAAGTATTTGTCCCTTACAGCTCTCTTCCTCCCTACCCAGCTGTAGAACTCCCATGCTCTCAAGGTTGATCAAACAAAGTTGTTCTCCTAACTTTCAGGTGTGCAGTGTCCATGCCTTGACCCAAGGTGTGGGTGGTGCATGATTTCCTCCTATGCTTAGCCCATTCCCTGGCTTGAGTATATAAGCCCATTACTCTGTAATAAATGGCAGCAACTTCTTCACTCTTCGTGGTGGTCTATTAAGTGTTTCAATCCTGACACCCTCTGCCAAGCTCAGTACTCTGGCTGGGCAGGCGCTTCAGCCACCTAAATCTCATCCCCCAGTGCTCAGAACTTCTCTGTGCAAACGTTGTAGTGGACTTGGAGGAGACATCCCCAACAACTCCTTCCGTGACTTGCAACAGCTTTTCCTTCACTGGAACCCAGGTCCAGAATATTCTGTGTTTCAGAGACTCAGAAATAGGTGTGGTGTTGAGCATAGCAAGAGTGTGGTGCCAGGGGGATCTTTCTGTTCTCTGGGGCATTTGGAGCACACAGATAACAAAACTGCAATACCTGAGCCTACCAGCTGTCAGGCTAAGCAGTGGGTTGAGTTTGGAAACGCCGTGGTTTTGTCCTGAGAGACACCTCTCCTGTTTCCTTCCTCACCCCCTATTTTTGGGTCTTGCTGTAGTCGAATCCTCAACGCAATCCTCCTGACTCGGCCTCTTGAGTACTGGGCTTACAGACAAGATCCACCATGCCTGGCTAAGCATCCCCCTTTAACAAATGGCATCAATCACACTTTGTTTATAGAGGTGATGTAATATCTTAAGGTATTATAGTTCAGCCTCAGGATTAAATCTGTGATGATATGTGCCAGTCACTGTTGCATAAGATTTACGTTTGTGTCCTGGATGCATGTGTTATCCTCTCTGTCATTCAATGCATTTCCAAATCAGGCCTCCTTAAACACTGAGACTCATTTAAGCAAGGGTAACTTTCCACTTAACTTGCATGCATTTGACTCACCTGGGCACAGCAGCCAGCACTAAGCATGGCCTAGGTAACAGGTGTAATTTACCCAACCACCCCAGAAGGATTCCTCAGGAGGCCAACACCGGGAGCTGACCTTCTTCCCCACAGCCTTTCAACCGCCAATTAACACAGGAGAGGAGAAATGGGGGTGTCCTTACAGCCTGGAAGTCTCAGTGAATTTTCACACCAACTCAAGTCTGAACCAGGAACCTCTGCATGGCGCACACAGATACCCTTTGCTGTACCCAGTACCACACTCACACACCCTTGCATAGCCACCTTTGTTTTTCTGTAGTATTTTGGCAGCAAAGGCATTTGGCATTCCAGGACAAGGGACAGGGACAGAGAACAAAGTTAGGAACCTAGTCAAAAGGCAAAGAAGGACCTCCTCCCGTACGCCTAGAGAAGATCATTAAGTTGATGGTCTATGGGGTACAAAATTCCAGTTATTTAGGGTGAGAACGTCCTGGGGCCCATTGTATTGTGTAGTAATTACAATTACTATATGGAACTTCTCTTTCAATGTGATCGTTAAAATGTATTTTAAAGGTTCTTATCACAAAATTTTAACTGCTCACAATGGAAAAAATTAGTTGTCGCCAAAAGAGTCTCGTTGGGTATAAAAACCTCACTTAAGGTCAGGCCCCATGTCTAGTAGTAGACGGTCAACACAAAGTAAACTCCAGATACTTTGGTAGGTTTTAGTTTGCTTTTAGTTTGTTTTGTTTTTACTTGCAGGTCTTTTGCTTATAGACTATGGTTTCTGGTTTGTGTTTTTTTAATGAGATTTCTGTGTTCCTAATGTGCCTGTCTCTGCATCTATGTGTCTCTTATACATTTTATTTGGCTTTGTTTGTTTCTTCCTATTCTGGTTTCAGTTTTATTTTACATTAATCTTCATCTTTTATTTCATTTTGAAAGTGCTGGCTTCTTTTCTAATGAGAGAGAGAAAGGAAGGGTATGGATTTGGGTAGGTTGGGAGGTAGGAAGAATCCGGGAGGAGTTGGGAGAGGAGAAACCATGATAAGAATATATTTCATGGGAAATCAAATTTCCATTTTCAAAAGATACTTAAAATATACCTGGAATATTCTTACCACAAAACTACTTCGAGGTCATGGGTGTGTTCAGCAATTTGGTTGTAACATTTCAGTTTATATGTATATTCAACCACATTATCCAACATGAATATTACCTTTTTGATAATTGCTTCTCAGCAGAGCTGAGGGGAAATGAATAAAATAATGAAAGGTGCATATTTAATGTGAACAAGTCAATGGACTTGGAGGTAAGTATATGCACCCTCAAACCATCCTGTTCTGTGGTTACTCACTCCAGATTCCAGGAAGTTCCTCCACAAGGCTTGTTAAATGCCTTTAGGGATGACCTTGTGTGCCTCTGTCGCTCATACCATGGAACATCACATGCTGTGTAACACTTTGGTCAGTGGTGGGACACATAGGATGGTGATCACATAAGGAAAGTCCCTCTCAGATGACATCAGAGGCATCTTAACATAGCAGTGTGAAGAGTACCCCACGTGCTAGAGGCGGTTCTGCTACAAGTAAATCCATCATGCTGCTAGTAGAATTAAAGTATAGAATGCACAGTGCCATGTCACTTGGTCATGAATTTATCATGCGACTCGTTTTATCCCTGAAGTATATGCCTTCTACCTAGAAAGGGGTGTGCTCTGGCATAAGTAAACCCACATGTCCATGTGTACAGAGGTGTGGTTGCAGAAGCCATAGGTCAGTGCCTATTGTCTTCAGTTGCTCTCAACCTTATTCCTTTGTTTTTACTTACTGTTCTCATTTTCTTTACTTCTAGAGAATTTCTTATATTTTGGTTGCATCCTACCCTCTCACCCAAACTTCTCCCAGGTCCATCTGCCCTTCCTTACACACTCAAATTATGCCCTTCTTTTAAACAATCAACTACAGTTTGTGCTGCCCACATACTCTTAAGTATATGGCCTCCAGGAGCTCTGCCTGGGTATGGTAGCAAATGTAGAAGACGGAGGTAGGAAGATCAGAAATTCAAAGCCATCCCTAGATACATAGCAAGTTTGAGGCTAGCATAGGCTAACAAGACCCAGTATGCTGGGGTAGGGGATTTAACGTAGTGTGTAAAACCCTTGCTATGCCAACATTAGGACTTTAGTCCTAATGTTTGAATCTCCAATACACACATAAAAGCCCTATGGCATACAGGTTTATAGCGCTAGTACTTGGGGATGGAGTCAGGAAGATCCAGGAAGATTGCTGGCCAGCCACTTTCCACTTAAACCAAAATGTTGATCTCCAGGGCATCAGTGAGAGAATCCTGACTCAAAGAGCAAGATAGTGGGGGGATGGACGGACAGCTAAAGGCACTTGATGCTCTTGCACGGAACTCAGGTTTTTGTTTTCAGCACCCACATGGTACTCACAATCATCTGTAACTTCAGTTCCAGGAATCTAATGCCCAATTCTGAGCTCCCACAGGCACCAGGCA